TATGGCTCCTGCCAGTTGCCAATAACTCTGTTACAAAACATGATCATCTCATACAATAATTTATATCACATCACAGCAAGCCCTGCAAAAACAAGTTCGACGTCCTCTACTTTGTTGTTGCAAGTTTTACGTGGCTGCTACGGGCTTCTAGCAAGAACCGTTCTTACCTACGCATCAAAACCACAATGATTTTTCGTCAAGTGTGTTGTTTTATCCTTCAACAAGGACCGGCCGTAGTCAAACTTGATTCAACTAAAGTTGGAGAAACAGACACCCACTAGCCACCTATGTGCAAAAGCACATCGATAGAACCAGTCTCATGAACGCGGTCATGTAATGTCGGTCTGGGCCGCTTCATCCAACCATACTGCTGAATGAAAGTAAGACGTTGATGGTAAGCAGTATGACTATCATCGCCCACAACTCTTTGTGTTCTACTGGTGCAGAAAACCTCTACACATAGACCTGGCTCGGATGCCACTGTTGGGGAACGCGGTAATTTAAAAAAATTTCCTACGCTCATGCAAGATCTATCTAGGAGATGCATAGCAACGAGAGGAGATAGTGTGTCCACGTACCCTCGTAGACCGAAAGCGGAAGCGTTTTAGTAACGTGGTTGATGTAGTCGAACTTCTTCGCGATCCACTGATGACCCACAAGTATAGGGGATCTATCGTAGTCCTTTCGATAAGTAAGAGTGTCGAACCCAACAAGGAGCAGAAGGAAATGACAAGCGGTTTTCAGTAAGGTATTCTCTGCAAGCACTGAAATTATCGGTAACAGATAGTTTTGTGATAAGGTAATTTATAATGGGTAATAAGCAATGAAAGTAAACAAGGTGCGGCAAGATGGCCCAACCCTTTTTGTAGCAAAGGACAAGCCTGGACAAATTCTTATATAGAGAAAAGCACTCCCGAGGACACATGGGGATTATCGTCAAGCTAGTTTTCATCACGCTCATATGATTTGCGTTCGTTATTTTGATAATTTGGCATGTGGGTGGACCGGTGCTTGGGTACTGCCCTTTCTTGGACAAGCATCCCACTTATGATTAACCCGTATTGCAAGCATCCGCAACTATAAAAGGAGTATTAAGGTAAACCTAACCATAGCATGAAACATATGGATCCAAATCAGCCCCTTACGAAGCAACTCATAAAGTAGGGTTTAAGCTTCTGTCACTCTAGCAACCCATCATCTACTTATTACTTCCCAATGCCTTCCCCTAGGCCCAAATAATGATGAAGTGTCATGTAGTCGACGTTCACATAACACCACTAGAGGAAAGACAACATACATCTCATCAAAATATCGAACGAATACCAAATTCACATGACTACTTATAGCAAGACTTCTCCCATGTCCTCAGGAACAAACGTAACTACTCACAAATCATATTCATGTTCATAATCAGAGGGGTATTAATATGCATTAAGGATCTGAACAAATGATCTTCCACCAAATAAACCAACTAGCCTCAACTACAAGGAGTAATCAACACTACTAGCAACCCACAGGTACCAATCTGAGGTTTTGGGACAAAGATTGGATACAAGAGATGAACTAGGGTTTGAGAGGAGATGGTGCTGGCGAAGATGTTGATGGAGATTGACCCCCTCCCGATGAGAGGATCGATGGTGATGACGATGGTGACGATTTCCCCCTCCCGGAGGGATGTTTCCCCGGCAGAACATCTCCGCCAGAGCCCAAGATTGGTTCCGCCTCATGGCGGCGGTGTTTCATCCCGAAAGCTTGCTTATGATTTTTTTCAGGGTAAAAGGCTTCATATAGCAGAAGATGGGCACCGGAGGGCTACTAGGTGGCCCACGAGGCAGGGGGCGCGCCCCCACCCTCGTGGCCAGGGTGTGGGCCCCCTCTGGTATTTCTTCCGCTTAGTATTTTTTATTAAATCCAAAAATGACTTTCGTGGAGTTTCAGGACTTTTGGAGCTATGCAGAATAGGTCTCTAATATTTGCTCCTTTTCAAAGCCAGAATCCCAGCTGCCGGCATTCTCCCTCTTCATGTAGACCTTGTAAAATAAGAGAGAGTAGCCATAAGTATTGTGACATAACGTGTAATAACAGCCCATAATGCAATAAATATTGATATAAAAGCATGATGCAAAATGGACGTATCATCCACCCGATCCAAATACCGAATGTACGGCACCTCCGCGTTCAGCACACGTTCAACTCGATGACGTCCCTCGTGCTCTTGATCCAGATGAGGACGAGGGTGAGTTCGGTCAGCACGACGGCATGGCGACGGTGATGATGATGCTACCGGCGCAGGGCTTCGCCTAAGCACTACGGCGATATGATCGAGGTGTGTAACTATGGAGGGGGGCACCGCACACGGCTAAGAGAAGTCTTCATCTGTTCTAGGGTGCTCCCTGCCCTCGTATATAAAGGAGGGAGGGGAGGCCAGCCGGCCCTAGGGGCGCGCACAAGGAGAGGGACTCCTACTAGGACTACTAGTCCTAGTAGGATTCCTCTACAAGAAAGAGAGGGGGAAGGAAGGAGAGGGAGAGGGAGTAGGAAAGGGGGCGCCGCCCCCCCTTCCATTGTCCAATTCAGACTGCTAAGGGGGGAGGGCGTCCGGCCCTGGCCGCCCTCCTCTCTCTCCACTAAGGCCCATGAGGACACATTAGTTGCCCCGGGGGGGGGGGTTCCGGTAACCCCTCCGGCACTCCGCTTTTACCCGAAACCACTCGGAACACTTATGGTGCCCGAATAACATAGTCCAATATATCAATCTTTATGTCTCGACGATTTCGAGACTCCTCGTCATGTCCGTGATCTCATCCGGGAATCCGACCAAACTTCGGTCATCAAAACACATAACTCATAATACAAATCGTCATCGAACGTTAAGCGTGCGGACCCTATGGGTTCGAGAACTATGTAGACATGACCGAGACACATCTCCGGTCAATAACCAATAGCGGAACCTGGATGCTCATATTGTCTCCTACATATTCTATGAAGATCTTTATCGTTCAAACCGCATAACAACATACGTTGTTCCTTTTGTCATCGGGTATGTTACTTGCCCGAGATTCGATTGTCGGTATCATCATACCTAGTTCAATCTCGTTACCGGCAAGTCTCTTTACTCGTTCTGTAATGCTTCATATCACAACTAACTCATTAGTCACATTGCTTGCAAGGCTTATAGTGATGAGCATTACCGAGAGGGCCCAGAGATACCTCTCCGAAACACGGAGTGACAAATCCTAATCTCGATCTATGCCAACCCAATAATCAGCTTCGGAGACACCTGTAGAGCATATTTATAATCACCCAGTTACGTTGTGACGTTTGATAGCACATAAGGTGTTCCTCCGGTATTTGGGAGTTGCATAATCTCATAGTATGAGGAACATGTATAAGTCATGAAGAAAGCAGTAGCAATGAAACTGTAACGATCATAATGCTAAGCTAACGGATGGGTCATGTCCATCACATCATTCTCCTAATTATGTGATCCCGTTCATCAAATGACAACACATGTCTATGGTTAGGAAACATAACCATCTTTGATTAACGAGCTAGTCAAGTAGAGGCATACTAGGGACACTATGTTTTGTCTATGTATTCACACATGTACTAAGTTTCCAGTTAATACAATTCTAATATGAATAATAAACATTTATCATGAAATAAGAAAATAAATATTAACTTTATTATTGCCTCTAGGGCATATTTCCTTCATCCAAGTGGTTGAGGCCTTGAAGATGGCCTGAACCTCCGGCCAGCGTGGGATGTGAAGGTGTTGCCACGGGTGTGAGGCATCCGTTCTCTGCAGCCACATCCACCGGGCGCGCAGTGGGATGTCGGCACGATGAAGGTCCGGGATGCCGAGGCCGCCGAGGGAAACATGCATGCATACCCGGCGCCAACTGACCATAAAGTGACTGTTGCTCACATCTTTGCGGCCATGCCACAAGAAGCTACGTATCAGGCGGTTGATACGCTTGAGGGTCGACGGCTTGATGGCCATCGCAATTATGATGTGTGTGGGCATGGCCGAGAGCACATCACGGCACATGGCCAGCCGATCGCCCCGCGACATCATGGAAGCCCACCACGGCGATAGCCTGCGCTCCAGCATGTCAATGATAGGTTGTAGGGCGTTGGCGCTGACTTTGCGGATGGACAGTGGTAGGCCGAGGTAGGTGGTGGGGAAGTCTTGCAGCGGTCAGGCGAAGTTCTCGGTGATCATGGCCCGGTCCGCGGCCGCACACTGGATAGGGGATGCCGTGCACTTAGCGAACTTGGTGTGCAGCCTCGAGGCGGCCCCGAAGACCCGTGGAAGCTCGCAGACGGCAGTCAGTTCTTGCCTATCAGGTCGGCTGAAGACGACGACATCGCCGGCGTAGATGAAGACACTCGAGGACATGTGACGCGCAGTGAGGCGTTGCAGCATCCCCTTGCTGGCCGCCCGACAAATGAGGTTGTTGAGGGTGTCAATCACCATGACAAAGAGCATAGGGGATACAGGGTCCCCTGCCGTAGCCCACATCGGTGGTAGATTGGTGTTCCAGGGACGTTGTTGGTGAGGACGCATGTGCTGGCCGTGCAAGGAGGATGCATATCCACTCGCGCCACCGGTGGCCGAACCCGAGATGACGCATAGTGTCCAGCAGGAATGCCTAGGAAACGGAGTTGAACGCGCGCGCAATATCCGGCTTGAGGATGACCCGAGGGTTCTTGAGGTTGTGGAGTTGCCGCGCGGTCTGCTGAACTAGCAAGAAGTTGTCGTGTATGCACCGACCGGCGACGAACGCGCTTTGGAGTTGTCCGGTTGGAGATGCTCTCAGCGCCGTATTCGTGTCCTTTATTTATCGTCTTTTTTCTTTGCGATCACTTTATTTATCGTCTACATCTACTTCTTCTACTAGATGGGGTTGCAATGGATCATGTCGACGTCGACGTACACCAGGTACAAGTTGTACAAGTTGTACAAGAGTAGAAGTGATGTCATATAATCCAATGCATCATGACTCCTCGATGGGCATCTTGATTCCCTTGATCTCGCGCGCGAGGGTCCGCAGCTCCTCGACCTCGTCGAAGGTGAGGCTCCACCCGAGTGCACCGGCGAACTCCATTGCCTGGCCGGCGTTCTTGGCCCCCGGGATGGGCACCACGTTGCCCTGGCAGGTCAGCCAGTTGAGAGACACCTGAAACCGCAACAATTCATTAAACTCTCCTGAGCAGATCCCTTATCTATCTATATATACAATTTCATTCAGGATCGATCCTTTGTTTTTCAGAGAGGGAAACATGATGAGTTGATTAATGTAGTCTGAAGCACCTGTGTTGGGTTCTTGCCATAGCTTACTCCAATCTCTTTGATCCTGTTCATCAGTGGTTGGAGCTGCGTAACATTAGGAAACAAGCATCTTCAGTGGGCAGTTTTTCTTGTCAAGGGGACACGAAGATCCAAGCATTGTGCAACGGTTTCAAAAATGGTATCACCTTGGTGAGGAACTCGGGAGTGTAGGTATTACCCCGAGGACCCGTAGGTGGATTCTCCGGAGTGTATTTCCCTGACAGAACACCTGAATCCATATAATAATGAGGAAAAGATGATTAATGAAGAAAATAAAGATGATTCATCAATCAATAATGGAGAAGTTGAGCAGGGAGGGAGGAAGCGAGGGAGAAAAGGAAGGAAACCTTGGGCGATGGGGGAATAGGCGATGAGCGTGACGCCGAGCTCGTCGCAGGCGGCCTTGACGCCGTTCTCCTCAGGCGTCCTGTAGATGAGGCTGTAGTTCACCTGGTTGACGGCCAGCGGGACGCCCCTCTTCTTGAGCCGCCCGTGTGCGTCCCGGAGGCGTTTCTCTGATGTCAAACATCCAGTGGGTAATCAACTGTTATCTTCTGATGAGTAAGGCATTTCTACTCCATGGCCAGTGAAGATCAGATGTTAGTACCATTGTAGTTGGAGACTCCGACGGCCTTGACGAGACCTTGCTCGTACGCGTCCGCCAGGCCATCAAGGTACCCTGAATGAAATATCAAGAATATCAAGTCTGTTCATGCACCTTGGATCAATATGAATAATTGGCTACCTTCGTTTCCCCATAGCCCTGGCCTGAAAAAGATAACGAGTGTTTGTCCGTCAGCAAAAGTCTGAAGAATACAGTAATTCAGAACTAGGCAGAGATTCAGACAAGTTAAGGATTGACGGACCAGTGGAGCTGGTAGAGCTCGACGGAGGGGAGGCCGAGGCGCTCCAGCGACTTCTTGAGCGCGGAGAGGACGCTGCCACGTCCGAACCTCCAGGGTAGCGCCGCAAACTTGGTGGCCACGGTCACATCCACCGCCCCCTTCTGCTGCCTCTCCCTGATGAAACTGTCATCAACATGCATATAAGGACACGCATCCATCACTAGTCATCGATATAATTTCATTTGTGAATTTCTGATGGTAATTTATGGAGAAGTGACGGGTTGGTTTACGTACTCTCCCAGTAGGCTTTCTGAATTCACTGCTCCCATGAGCTGCATGGGGACACAAGACATAAAACTTACTGTATTAAATAACTACTTCCTCCGTAAACTAGTATAAGAGCGTTTAGTAGGAACCTAAATGCAATGCTTTTATATTAGTTTATGAAGGGAGTACAAAATTATCAAATATCCAATTCGGCTCCAGAGCTCATCTACACCCTTCGTGATGGGCAAAATTATCAAATAACTACTCCCTCCGTGAACAGTCAATTAAAAAAAACTTAAAAGTTTTAAAAATTCTAATTTTTTTTATGAAAGATGCTTTGAATGCGTGATGTTCGTGCCAAGTTTTAGCTCATTCAGACATGTGAGTAGTTCTCAGAAAAAAGAACAAAATCAGGTCCAAACTGTGCAAAACAGTGAACTTTTTCACAGACGCTGAATTTGTCTTTTTCGCTAAGAGCTCATCAGATGTTGAAATGCGCTGATTTTTTGGCACGGACCTCAAGAACTCAAGCATCTTTCCACAAAAAAATCAATTGTTTTAAAATTCTTTTTACTATTTTTGGCGAATTTACTGTTAACTCGTGGGTTCATCTGAGTCCGAGAACCAAAATGCCCCGTCCATTTATGCGTTAAATTGGGACTCGATGATTAGGAAATCAATCCGTCAGATTTTTACCCACAAAAAAGGAAAAAAAACGGTGAGACTTGATCTTACCGCTGTGCCGTATACTTCGGCGGTGTCAAAGAAAGTCATTCCGTTGTCGATGCTGGCGTCGAATGCTGCTTTAGCCTCCTTCAGTCTCCTGTCTGCATGCCAAATTAACCCTTTTTGAGGATGAAAATCCCTGAGTACTTTTCTTTTTCGCGGGAAAATAAGCCCTACTCCCTTCGATTCATATTAATTTAAAGTTATACTAAAGCTACGACAAATAATGTGGATCAAAGGGAGTAATATGTTTTTAGGCTACATGGTTCTCTTCTCCTGCAGGCAAATAATCTGGATCATACTGTATCATGCTTCATGGGAAGCATGACCAGCGTTTCAGAGTGTTAATTTCCTAGTCACACTTTCTGACTGACCCTGTAAACAACGTAGACCAGGCATGTAAAATCGTAGATGTAAATTTAGCTGTAAAGTTTAAGCAGTTCAAGTCCCAATATAATTTCATCGTGCGTCGTCTCGACGAGGACGTGATGTTAGAGGCAAAAACGAACCTATGGATCCAGATGAACACGTACGCGACGTCGCAACATAAAACATGTGGCGAAACGAGTGTCTCACCGTCCCACTCGGAGTCGTTCCAGTAGGTGGTGTCACCCCACGACCATGCACCGATGCCGAGCTTGCTCACCGCCACGCTGGACTCGCCCAGCCTCACCTTGTCCTCCTCCGCCACCTTCGCCCCCGCACCCGCCCTCGGCGGTCGCAGCGCCGCCATCGCTCTCCTCTCCTGCCGCCGGCCGTCCAGCGGGCCGAAGCAGCAACCCACGCCGCGGCCGGCGCCGACCTGCAGCGAAGCCATTCCTAGTCCTAGTTGCGAGCTCCAGCTACTGTACTTTGCTCGCTCGCTCGCTCGCTCGGCTCGGCCGCTGAGGCACCAGCCACCACTCGATCTCTTAAAGAGCTCTCAGCTCGATCAGCCGTTGCGCTGGGGCTTAACTAGTTTGTCTGGCCAGGAGGAGAGGGGACGAGGAGGAACAGGGAGAGGACCTGCGGCTTGGTTGGCGCCTTGGCCGCTAGCTCAGATACTTTGTGCGTGTGTGGCTGCGTCGGCCTCGCCCGGAGCTGTCTACCAATTCTAGTGTTGTAGGCGCTACGACAGCTATGTTTCGGAGCCGCGACGTGACGCACGTGGGCGGTCTGGTGGACCCCACCTTTTCGTTGCCACATGGGAGAAGAAATAGACGGTCAGCATTTCCACGGACATGGTAAGTTTCATGACTAAAACCAGTTTTTAGGTTAACAGAGCAGGAATCTTCTACGCTAACTGCCATGGCTAAAATCCCCACAGTGAGTATAGGGGCATGAACATAGAGGCGTAGAGGCTACGGAGATGCAGAGGGTGTACGCACCAGGATGTACACATGTTCTGGCCTTCAACAATGAAGGTAATATCCTACTTCCTGTTGTTGTTTTGTTCTCTCATTTATATAGAGTGCACTAAGTACGAGGGTCACAACGGCTGGTATAAGACTTAGCTTAAGGCTGCTTGTAATGGATAGTATCATGCATATGATAGTGTTTATGATATTGCCTTCCTAATGCATAATATCATATACTAATATCATAGATGAATTTATTTAATGTTATTGTAACACCCCGCTAGTTAAGCTATAGTAACACCACACTAATGGTGCCATGTCATCGCAATTGATTTTCTAAACCCCACTTTGATCCAAACCAAATTCAAATTCAAATTGAAAGAAAGCCAAATTTTTATTTCTTCAAACGGTAAAACAAAATTGTTCGCTGGATTGAAAAAATTCACTAACAATTTCCATGAAAGAAACCAACATTTTATGAAATATTAAAATGCACTTAAACTAATTAAAATTGGACCAACAACTTTTATTTGAACCTTTTCAATTTAAATAAATATTTGCATGTTTCAAAATAACTTGAAACTTGTTGTGCTAGCTCATAGCATTGCATAGTATTTAGGTGTAAAGTACCTTGTTGAACCTAAAATTCTTTGCCTTTAATAGAAATAGCAAAACAATAGCTAAAAGTAAAATAGAAATAAAATTTAAAAATAAAAGAGAAAAGAAAGGAACAACCCCCTCCCACGCTGGGCCAACCGGCCCAGCTAGCCAACCGGCCCAGTTAGCCAACCGGTCGGCCCAGCCTAACACCCCCTACTAACCTAGCTCCTCCCGTCCCGATCCCCGTCTCTCCCCCATTCCCCCATCCCCGCGCCGTCACCCAGGACGCGCACGCACGCAGACGGACAGGGGAGGGGCGCCCCCTGCTCGATCCCCCTCCTCCCGACGTGCTCGCGCCCGAG